GTACTCTACTCTTACTCTACCCTACTCAAGTATATGATGTCCGACTCTACTAAACTATGTCATGTTCTACTCAACACAACACACGTTACATACTCGACCCTGCTCTACTCAAGTCTGTCATACTCTACCGTGCTCCACCCCAATTCTGAGTTCGACGAGTGTTGGAGACTTGTTTGGGAAACACTGGAATAGCCACAGGAAGCCGTTGCAATAGCACTGGCAGTCATTGCAGCCAGAAAGAGTATATGCAATCAGCTGGAGCAGAACAGGGGGGAGCATTGGACCATTTCTCTATGGATTAAACAAATGCTCCGATGGGCAAGCCTATTTGGAGAACACGTCCATGAGCAAACTCATCATTATGATTGCTGTCCCTCTGCTCCTACCGAATCACCTCTTCGTCCTCGTGCCCACCCCCCCTCTTCCCCTCCCCGTGCAAACACCTGCAGACGCCTGCCGATTGCTTCGTAGAATACGTCCTCAGTATAGGAGGCGCAACTGCCCATCGGCAAACCTTCCCCCAATGGGCGGAACGGCAGCGCGAGGTCCTGCTCCCCTCTGTCCCCTTTATTCCCTCACCCTTCTCAATCCCCTCTGCATCATCATCCAACCCCCCTCCTCCTCCTCCTCCTCCTCCTCCTCCTCCTCCTCCTCCTCCTCATCATCATCATCATCATCATCATCATCATCATCCAACTTCTCTTCCTCATCATCCTCGTCCTCCTCCGCCTCGTCCTCCTCTTCCCTCTCCGCCCCATCCTCCCACTATCGTCATACATTACTCCTCCTATTCTGACCACCCGGCGTGTCGGTGGAGCTTGACTGGCGTTTCGCCTGACATTTGCGCCCCATGACCCCGACGCTTGAACTCCCAACAACCTTCCAGACGAAGATTGTAGAACTGTTCTTCTCTTCCATCAGCTAGGCCATTTTCTCTCCTGCCCAGGGAGGAGGTGACCACGAATCCTTGATCATGTGCACCCCCTCCCCAGCTGTACCTGCCCTTAACCAGGGCCGATGCGGCACCCCACCAGCGCCCCTGTCAAACGAACAGTGCAGCAAACACTCTGCAACAACAATCAACATGTTCGGGTGCCCGACAATCACGCCACAGTGCTTTTGACAAGCATGGGGAAGCGTTGGCATTTGGGTCCACGCGCGCTTGCCGACCACCAATGTTTATCGTATGTTGTGTTCCATGTGTGGGCGCATCGCGGCCACTCTGCATGATTAGCTAAGAAGGGTGATGGAAGTGCCCTGGCACGCAAGGTGCGGCTCACGCTCTAAGCCACCCAAAAAAAGACATGGCGAAGGACCCAACCATATGCAGTTGTGAGTAACGCATATGTTGGTGTCGTCTTCGGGCGAGCTGGTTATGAGGCCACGAAAAGTGTGAGGGGTGTGCCAACATAGGCGCGGTGGTGCCATGCGAACGCAGCCACTGGGGCCTTCGGTGGAGCTCCATATGGGGCCACGAAACGTGTGAGGGGTGTGCCGAAATGGGCGCGGTGGTGTCACGCGGGCGGTGGCACTGGGGCCTTCGGTGGAGCCCCATTATGGGGCCACGAAAGGTGCGAGGGGTGTGCCAACTGGGTGTGGGGGACGCATGCGGGCGGTGGCAGTGGGGCCTTCGGTGGAGCCCCATGGGGCCACGAAGCGTGTGAGGGGTGTGCCGACATGGGTGCGGGAGACGCATGCGGGAGGTGGTACAGGGGCCTTCGGTGGAGCTCCCTGTGGGGCCACGAAATGTGTGAAGGGTGTGCCAAATTGGATGTGGGGGGCGCATGCGGGCGGTGGCATTGGGGCCTGCGGTGGGGCTCCCTATGGGGCCACGAAACGTCGGGTGTGCCAACATGAGCGTGGGGGACGCATGCGGGCGGTGGCAGTGGGGCCTGCGGTGGGGCTCCCTATGGGGGGGCCGCGAAACGTGTGAGGGGTGTGCCATATTGGATTTGGGTACGCGTGCGGGGGATGGCACTGGGCCTCGATGGCGTTCCCTATGGGGCCACGAAGCGCTGTACTGGGTGGGTGAAACGCAGGGAGGAAGGAGGAAGGGGAGCAGGGAGGAGGGGGATGAAGAAGGAGAACGCGGGGACCGTCTATTCAGAACGAGGACCCAACACCACAGGAGGGTTGGGAAGACACACCAACCAACCCACCCACCCACCCACCCACCCACCCACCCACCCACACACACACACACACACACCAACACCAACACCAACACCAACACCAACACCAACACCATGCCCACCGCCACCCCTAACCTCCAAGGCCTTCCGGGGCCCAAGATGGCCCCAAGAATCCTCCTACATACATATACACATAGATTCAATAGAACTTGCGTGGAGGCCTTCTGCGCGCCCTCAAAATGGCCCTCTCCCCTGCATGTTCCTCCTCGTCCTCCTCCTCCTCCGCCTCATGATCAGCACTGTCAGCAGCAGCAGCAGCAGCGTCCGCAGCAACATCATCACCATCATCACCGTCATCACCTTCGTCACCATCATCATCACCAGCAGCCCCTTCACCACAACCACAACCACATCATCGAAATCATCATCATCATCATCATCATCATCATCATCATCATCATCATCATCCTCAGCAACGGCAACAACAACATCAGCAGCATCATCATCCGCCTCCTGTCACCCTCCTCCAACTGTATTTCGTCGCATCCCCCCTCGTTTTCCTTCCCTTCTTCAACCACCTCACCCAAACAGCTCTCACGGGCGTCGTTTTCGGATGGGTTGGCGGGGACGCGCGCTTCGTCCAAAAATTTGCACACGCACACGTAGGAAACGGCAGTCAGAATGCGGATCTCGTCTTAGCGCATTGCGCATTGCGCATTCTGCGCGAGGGAAGGGTTGACCGAAAGGCCGATCACCTCCCGAGCATCCGTCGGTGAAGGCAGCAACGATGAGTAACGGGCGATGATGAAGGCTTCACCCTTCTTCACTGTCCAGGGACCAGCGCGCGCTTGCAAATACCTGCAGGCCAGACAATGGCAGCGGGCACGCTAAACGAAGGGACTGGCAAGGCCCCGCGCACGCCCCGCGCCCCGAAACCCGACCCGCGAGACGCAGCAGCGAAACGCGAAGGAGAGCGTTCGAGAGCGATGGAAATGAGCCCCTAACCTTGCGGGACCGCACGCCGCGCTGTTAAGCCACAGTCGGCAAGCGAGGTAAGAAGGGATTGCTAAGCGCGACGCCCCCCTTGCCAATCCGCGACGCCAACCCCCAAAACCTTTCTGGCGCCAGCAGGGACGGATGAGGCGCACAAGGTAGGGTGGGGCAAGGGAACAGAATTGCTCGAGCGGGCAGTCGCGTCGCTCGGCAAGCCCGAATCGGAAGAAGGCAGGCCCACTACGGATGGATTACAAGATGGATGGGCAGTTCCGTAACTCGGCGATGCGGTCGCGGCGCGAGCGCACGGACTGGGTTGCCACGCCAATTGATACTGTGCCTGCTGGAAGCACTGGGGCGGCGCACCACATGCACGCCTCCCGCGGCTAAGCAACAACAATCAGGTCCAAAGTAAGTGCGCACTAGCGTCTCATTCACCCGCAAATTCGCAACCATAACGACAAACAAAACAGACTGCCATGAAAACGCAACTCGCAGAACAAACCCAGTCTCGTCGTTAAACCCCGCTGCCGCTTTACATACCAACGCGCACTATCAATGCTAGCGCAACAAATGCATATACGCGTTTTACTGTCATTCCCCAATCAATGCTTGCACTGATGGGGGTCCTAGCATACATTGAAAGATGCGGCGACAGTTCCAAGCCGACATCGGTGGGCGGCCGTGCTCCCGGACTCGCGGCCCCGGGCCCCAGGGCCCCCAGCTCCGCGTGCCCGGCCGATTTCTGCGGGCGGCGGGGTTCCCGGGATCCCCGGCTCCTGGTCGATCTTCTCGTCGATCGGTCTCACCATCGATCTCATTACCCATCTCTCTCTTGATCTCACTATCGATGCCACAGTCGATCTCACAAGCGATCTCGCGATAGATCGCACGAGCGATCTCGCGATCGTCTCACGATCGACGTTACACTCGCGCTCACGATCGACTCCACAATCGCTCTCTCGATCGCACGATCAATCTCAGTATCCGTATTGCTAATTTTCAAGCAATCCACAGATTGAGCAATATTAACAATACGCGTTGGTATGATGTTCAAATCGCCTATCTCCACGTACATCGGGGATGTCACAATGCGCGTGTCGATGGCGGCGCGCGTTGATGGCGGCACTGGGGAAGTGGAAGGTCGGGCGCGCGCCGCAGGCAATCTGAACGAATAAACAAATAACGAACGTCGGTCTGCGCTCGCCGCTCATCGGTCAAATGCCAACTAAGAACGCTGGGGAGTCACAACGATAACAATGCCACGGGCCAGCAGGACCGCGGATCCCGGCAGCGTCGCAGTCGAAGCGATCGTCGCCGCACCATGGGTCCACGCGCTCCAATTTGCTCCTCGCCCCGACGCAACGCGCCCCACTGTGACCTCGTCGCGAAGCGCGTTGGAATCGCGGCGGGGACCTGGTGCTTTGCGCGCGGGCGCGGCCGGATGACCGGCGCCGGCGCAGTCCTCTTCGGCGGAAGAGACGCGTGCAAAGCGGCTGCAGCAGCGTCTGCGCACTTTGCGCCGGCCGCCCGCTCTGCTGAACGATAGAAGTGGTTCCTCGACGGCGAAGGTAGCGAGCGTGGGGCGCGCGCCCCGGCGCCCGCGAGGGTTTCTGCCGGCGCAAGCGGCACCCCCGTCAATCGGGGCGGCGCCGTCGGAGCGGCCCAGCATGACCATCGACGTAATCACGTAATCGACGGCGTCCAGGTTCAGTTGGGCCTTGAGCCGCGGCGGTTGGCAGCTGGCAGTTGCGACGCAGCCCTGGCTTGGACTGGTTGATGCGGCGCGCCTCCGGTTGGTCTGCCGTCGAGTAGCGCAGTTCAAATCCAGCTGAGGTGTCACCCAGGGCGCGCCGCGACGTAGAAGCACTTGGCGCGGCGATGAGGTGGCCGAAGCTGCCGCGCACATCGCTGCATGGGGCCACGCAACCATCGACGATCCATAGTTGGGTCCAAGGTTGGGAACGCAAACAGACTGCAGCAGCGGTGGCAGAGCGAATATGTCCTGGATCTCGCAACCCTGGTCGACGCCGCGATGCTTGATCCAACTGTCGGTCAGGACGCAGCCGGTCTGCGGGTGTACATCTCATAAGATTTGCCATCGCGCGGTGCCGACCACGTTGATCAAGTCTAAGCGCGGGCACCAGATCTGGCGCGTCGCGACCAGGGTCGCCGCGCGGAGCCGAGTGCATGCTGGCGCCCAAGAACTGCAGGATGGCACGATGTTGCGCCTGCGTGCGTGGGCCCAGAAAAACAAAGCCAGCGGCACTGCCGAGTGCGATCAGGTAGACGAGCCACGGCGTCGCCGTGCCGGATTCCAGATTCGTCGGCAAGTTTTGGCTGCGGCTCTCCTGATGTAATGATTGAAGCGCATCCTCGCGGGGCGCTC